CGAGGAACGGACCTGCGTCCTACGCCAGTTAGTGACCCGCCCGTCACTTTCCACACCTCGATTATCAATCATCGATGTAAACGTTTCCGATGCCCCCTTCTTTTTATCAAGTTAAGTAATACATTTTGAATAGCTTTATTTTTGTTGCCACAACGTCAATACAATGTTTTGTTTTATTTGCGAGTCAGCAAGGGAGTATTTGCAGATCACGCAAATAAGCTGATTGCTGACGCCGCCGGCTCACAGCGAAGCGGCGGCGACGGCGACGGCAGTGTCTCCAAGCCGTCTTTTTCTGTCGGCAAAGTTGTAGGGGAGGGGTAGGGTGAGGGGCGCTTAGGACCCACAGGGCCCTCCGTTCTGCTCGTCCCCAGGCCCCTCCTCTTGCCCTGACCCTGCTCTCGGCGCCAATAAAGTAAGATTCGTCGAATATTCCCCGTCGAAATTTCGGCATTTCATTTCCTCCCGCAATAATCGAGACGAGCAACCGCCAAGAAGTGGTCGCGGTCGTTGGTGCCACGGGAGGGTGCCCCCCCCCCTCCCCTCGCCCCCCATGGCTATATCACTTACTCCTCCCCACCACCACGGCAGCAGCAGCAGCCACCAAGATAAAAGTCAGGGGGAGGATTCCGCAGAGGCGGCCCCCTCCCTCCTCCCTTGGGGGATGTTATTAGTCGTAACGGCATACCTACAACAATGGGTGCAGCAGTCGGAGGCTTCGACTGTCAGAACGGGGGGAGGGTGGGGGGCTGGGAGTCAGCAGTGCTGTGTGCGTGGGGAAGGACGCGGTGGGGGGCGTATAACGACCAAATGGAATTCCGGTCACCGCAAAGGCCAGCGAGCGCGGCGTCCAAAACGTTCTTCATGCCCGATGGCCGCAGAGCCGAGGCCGCGACCCCGTCGGCCTACAAATGCCCTCACCCTCCGTTCCGTTGTGGCTTTCCGTCGGCTAAAAGCGCTTTTCCGTTTGCTGGTGTCTTTTTGTTTAGCCCCCCCCCCCCTTCTCCCGTCCTCCAATACTACCACTCTCGTTCTATATCCCACGCTGCTGAAGCCAACATCATAAAAACAATGGCATGACTGGTCGCGACATACACATACATAATAGATCGCACATTTTATTGTCCTCAATTGTTCTTCGTTTAAGTACCGAAACAAATTTTAGATGAATTAATTTCATTTATAGGAGAAGTTTGCGACAACACTACGGCTCAAGGTTTCACTGACCTTGCTGGCTGCAAATAAAAGTTGCAGATGAAATGTCATGTTGGGAATTGAACAAAGCAGTGTCGTTCTAACAGTTTTCGTTACTTTATCGGGTGAGTATTTGATCAGAAAATAGCGAATTTAATCTTCCACAAGTTAAAACGCCCCCTTTCACTGGGTGTGGCGGGCGTTTGATTCGTGCCGCGAATTCCTGCCGCTTTCCCTTTCGCTGAGCGCTGCGGCGGCGGTAGGGTTGGGAGCACCGCAGCCCTGGGCCCCGCAGCCACAGCCTGGTCTGATTACCGAGTGATTCTTACAGCTGCGCTCTCCGCACTCGAGATGAGAAAAAGGGGGTCGGAAAAAAACGGAAAGAAGGGCAGGGCGCGCGTGTGAAGGGGGAGAAAGGGGGGGGGGGGACAAAACCAACCAATGATGAAAAAAAAACCCTCGAA